TTTAGTATGATGCACTGTGACATCATTTGTCTTATTAAATCAATCAAAGGTTCAGTATTTTAAAGTTTTTCATGAAAAATAATTTTCCCTAGACTTTGGGACAGACCTTATAGCTTATATATATAGTGATCTGCCACTTAAATTAATCTGTTTGTTTTTTTTGTTTTTTTGTAATTTTTCGCGCCTGTTCCGTTTGTGCTCAGGCACCACATTTTTGTAAAACCCGCGGGACTGGATGATTGGTTGCGATTCGTGACGTCAAACAAGGAGAAATATAAATGGAGGTGTTTCACCTGAGAGGAGTACTTTTTGCTCTTAGGACTTGGCCGGATACTTCGTTTACGTGAGGTGCGGGTGTTTAAGCACATGGTTGAAAGGAGAAGAGAGTGGACAGTTTGAAGAAAGAATAAGAATCCAATTTCATCCAGGTCTAGGAGCAAGACGTTGATGCAAATTGAATATACATTCCTTCCCAATTAACGAAGGACACATGTAAGACCATTTTGTTTTGTTCTTTGTTTGTACTATCCCTCACAGAGATATTAGAATAGCGCGTAGATATATATATGTGTTACACGTGAATTAAGTCTGTATAGGGTATATGGATATAGGTATAATTGTCGGTGTATCAAGAAGCTTGTAAGACCCTGAAATAAATAATTTTCCTCACCTGTAAAAAATCAAAAAATGTAAAGTCCTTAAATTGCTTTGTTTTTTTTTCCTTTTTATGTTTATTGCCTATTACCCTACATTGTACACTGTATACTCAGGTATAGCAGTAAATCAACATATGTCTTGCAAACATGCAACTCACATCTTTACATCCTGTAGATACAGGGTGTAAAGATATGAGTTGCATGTTTTAGTGTGGATATTTGACATGTTGTTTGTGTGGAAGGATGAAAGGCTTCTTTGGTTCTCCGCATATGTACTGTACACCCTGATCATCATAACATACACAAAAACCTTGATTGACACTAAAGATAATCTTATTCCAATCTTCAGAGGTTCAATTAATATACTGTTTATACCACTGAACTTGTTTATCTTTGCTTCTTAGAGAAAAGTGGTTTGTATTTTGGAACAAATTCATTTTATAAAGTCTACAAAATGTTATGCTGTGGGACACATCTACATTTTCCTTTTTCCACACAGAATATAGTATATATTATAGTATCTGCTTGATTTGAAATGATTTTTTTCTTTCCTTACTATTGCCTTTAGTTTATAATCATCTCTTGAATTTGTTGAGCATTTTCTTCCACAATTTTGATGATTATTTACAATTTTCTTTTCCAAATTCATTAGTTTTAAGATTTTTGATACTGTATATTGTAAACAGTTAATAATTTTGGCAATTTCCAATTGGGATTTACCTTCATTTTGTAAAATTTGCATAATTTTTCTAATTCTAGGTTCATAGTTCCTAAAAGAGAGATTTTTACATCAAAGGTGTCAGAACATCTTAAACAATACAGCTATGTATCAACATGTAATTCTAATAATTATTATTTTAAGTATTCCAATTTTGAATATTAATTTTAAGTATTCCAATTTTTTGAATTTTTTAAAATAATGAATATTTAAAAACTACTTAGCATTTTCACAAACAGCTTTTTAGAATTATAGTCAAATAACAGGTTAATTAGATAAATAACAAATTATTAGCAGATATGACTATAAAATTTTATAATTTTAACATTGAAAGTTAGAAAAGACTGGAATTGTAAGATTATGACAATTTTTTGACACAGTGTTCTTCAAGTTTGTCTCATTGTAGTATGCTCACATATTTAAGGACAATATGAAACATTACAGAGAAATGGTGAAATACATTGACTGATTTTAAAAATTTTTTCCGTGTGGTTTTTGCAAATTTTGCAAGATTTAGCATTGAATTTTCTAGAATAAAAACAAACATAGTGTCCAGTAGTCATTCACATTCACTGTCTCCTCAGCATAAAACACCTTAAAGAACCATAAATAACTCCAGTAAATTTAATAAAAAATTTGCCAGGACAAATGACATTTATAAAAAAAATATATTTCTTATTGGCTATACATACACAGATGAGTCCTACTCCATTTTTTGTCCCTTCACACGCTGTATGAGGCAATAACAATTCCATCGACAAAGTCAACCTTTCTTTATAGGCTACCATTCATCGCAAAAAATGTAAAATAGTTACAGAAGTCCTCTAGTGGTAGCACAGCAAAATCAAAATTAATAATTACATTTAATAAAAAATTTTTTATTAAATGTACATCTCGTACAGCATGTGAAGAGACAAAAAATTGACTAGGACTCATCTGTGTAAGTATAATCAATAAGAAATATATTTTTTCTGTAAACTCCAGTAAATAATCACAAATGGAAGAACTAATATTTTCAATCCTTTCTACAGATCTTCAGGTCAAAAGTTTTAGAATTTGAATACTCTTCAAATATTGTGAATGAACACTCCTTGCTGCTAAAAGTTTTTCATGTATTTTAAATAGCAGTTTAGTATGACTCAATTCAAGTTTTGTATTTTCATTTAAATCACTGCAATAAGACAAAATTTTTTTGACTTTTGCAATTGACTTTTACAATGTGTAAATAATAATTTTTAGTTTATACTTAATACTGAATGTGAATTGAAAAATATATAATTTGTTCTATAATTTGTTCTACATTAAGAAATATAATTTGTTGTTTCATATAAGTAATTAATGCTGTATTATAAGGAAAAAAGGTCATTGCTTAATGCCAATTGTAGACAGGAAGAAAGTATGAAATCCTTGTCATTTAATCAGATGATTCATATTTTATTATATCAAAATCACTAAGATTCCATTATAACTGTAAAATCTTCAAATAATACAGAGGACTTTATCTAATGACTGATTTATTTTGGATAAACATGGAAGATCTTATTAATAAAATTGTTCAACTTTCATAAATATTTTAGTAATTCATATTTGTTCTAGCACTTCATGAAGTAAAAAGTGTTTATCTAATATATTATATTTAATATTCTCAGTTTAATAGGTAAGACAAGAATAAGTAAAAAGAAAATTTTAATACATAAAGCCTTAACTCTTTTTTTCCTGTTTTTCAGTTTTCAATTATATGTATAACTAGTGATGTGCACATCTATCTATCTATATCTGTTGTAATTATTAAAAATGGAATTTTCACACTCACATATTCTTAAAATAATTGGAAAAAAATTTATTTCTTTTATAAAACTTCATGTTTTTATAGATATATATTTGGCTTAATGAGAAAATCTTATAATTACAGCAATTAACTTAAGATCATTTAATAATAATTCAGATTCTTTTACTAAAAGAAGACATTCTGTTAAAATATAATAAATAATATATAATATTATATACATACAACAAAATAAATAAAAAGTTTTCATTAAGATTGATTAAATTTTTATCACAATATTTAATTAATCAAATATTAAATCATTTAACTAAAAGAAGATAATTAATATAAAGAAAATGGATGCTTCAGCTTTAAGTGATGCTTTAATAAAGATAAATATCCAAATGCTTTTAGACACAAATGACAAGTATATGGAAGAGGTCCTTTATGAGTCTTCATATGAGAATGAAGACTGCTTCTCCATTTGAAAGATTTGCCACAAATTTCACATTTACAATTCTCTTTCCAAGATGAATGTCTATTTAGATGAGTGATTAGTCGACTATGATAACTGAATACTTTTCTGCAAATGGGACATTGTTTAGATTTTTCTTTTCTTCCTAGTCTGTTTTCTTCTAATATATCTTCTCCTGGAACAAAATATTAATAAAATGGAACTTTCACAGCATAAAGGTAATAAACTAACACATATATATTTATGATTTCTCTTGTATTATCAGTTAGATATATATATATATATAAATATATAAATATAAATAATATTTAAATATCGAAATATAAAAATAATGAAAGGCTTTAAACAAAAATATGTAATTAAATCCTATTTTTCCTGTTCTATTCTTCCATTAAATTTACTATTAATATGTTTAGTGCATAAATCATTGATATATATCTGACTACTGAAAATTTCACTTAAATTTCTTATTAAAAAATTATATTTTGAAACTTTTGTGATTGCTTATAGACTTTTATAGTCACTAACTACACAATTACATATACAATTAACCTGCTAATTAATTTAAATATACAAATGAATAGCTGGATTATTTATCAAGTTACTTTAACATTAATTAATTATTAAGGAATTAAGTAATTTGGCTAGGTAGGTCATTAAGCTTCTTTCTTGTTAACTTTAATAATTAGAAACAAATCAATGTAATTCTAATATATTTTACAAGAAAAGGTCAGTCCAAGGTGGCACTAAAAACTACAACTCCTGCTTATTGTGCAGATGCATTGACAGTTACACTATTTGGGCCTCTGATCTTCAGTTCTAGACCAATTAATTAATTTTGAAGTACCATACTGGTCACTCATTGGTATATTCCAGAATATTCTAAAAATAAAATAACAATTAGAAATAAATTAATTCAAACACAACATGGAAACTTAACTGTCTACCTCTAGCCAAATCACCTAATTCCTCAATAATTAATTAACCAAAAAATAACTCATTCAAATATTTGATTTGTTATTATTTAAACTAACCATACAATTTATGCAAAATGTTTGTATGTTGTTGTTTTTTAATCTGTTCATGAAAAGAATTTTAACATTAATTATTTACTTCTTCAATATTTAATTACAAAATACATAAGTATATATAAAAAAACTAGCTGTTACCTGCGACTTTGCCTGCGCAGATTTTGCAAGCAAACCCCATTTATATTCAGTATTTCAACAATCATAGTAATTGTTATATAATATCTACTGCTGAGAATGATGAGAATTGCTGAGAATCAAATGAACTGTTTTCAATTTGATCAATTTTCTGGAACATTTACAATCATTCTATAATCAAACCAATATGCAATAACAAATTCAAATTTAAAA